TGTCTGGTCTGGAATGCACTGGAACTGTGGGCATGTTCACACTATGTTCCAGACCTGATCTGGGCCAAAAAATGGTGTGAACCATAGGGCTGAAAATCATGGAGGGCCTTTTAGGCAAGTATAGGACCTTCACAGGCACTTAAAATTGTATAAAAATATAATGTTTTAATAAAGACATTAAAATGCACAAAACAAAAAACACATATTCATATTGGTCCTCAGCCTAAGCCTAGAAAACATTACATGTTTATACAATTTTAAGTATCTGTGAAGGTCCTATACTTGCCTAAATAGCCCTCCATGATTTCCAGCCCTTAGTCTTTTGGCTTTGGAACTGTTTCCTCTTTCTACAAATATAAAATAGGTGTTCTCTTTATTTGGATGCAAAAGTGGAAATACACTTTGCGGCACCTATATGACATATTGTCCTTGTAATTTACTGCCGCAGTGCATCCGTAGACAACTGCATAATACTAATTAAGTTACAGGTGACATAAACAATCCATTAGGGACCAGACCAGAATGAGTATAGGTTTTCTTTAAGCATTGTCAATAATCAAACACTAAGGGGTCTATTCACTAAGCTGCCGAAGGATCTAGCCGTAGCTTCGGCCGATCCTTCGGCTAGCTTTGTCCCCAGGACCCCTTCGGTTCTGTAGAACCGAAGGGGTGCTGTACGGGCTAATCACTATAGCCCGTACAGCTCCCGAACGTGGCCGAGTGGCTCAGTCGAGCCGAACGCATATGCATCGGCTCGGCTGAGCCGATTCTCCCTGGCGCTCCGGGAGTCTCCTGCTCCCGGCCGCCAAGGAGAGAAACACTGCTGTTTCTTCTTTTTCTTTATTCTGACACGGAGCCGTGTCAGAATAGAAAAAAAAACAAAAAACGTTTTGCCCATCGGAATGCATTGCTAGATTCCTATTGGCTATTTCAATTTGCAATAGCCAATAGTAAACTAGCATTGTTGGATCGGCTGAGTCGAACAGCTTCTGCACTTTGGGTCGGCCGAACATGCGGAGCATGTTCGGCCGACTCGAAGCCATGCGAAGCAAGCCGATGTACGGCTGATGTCAGCCGATATACGGCTGAAATCAGCCGTACAAGCCTGAAGTGAATAGCTGAACATTGTTCGGCTCACTTCACTTGGGGTCAGTTGTTCACTCGGCTGCCCTCGGCAGCTTAGTGAATAGACCCGTATGGCTTTATTAGGTGCCATGAATATTCAGTGTAGTGTGACATGGGAGCTACAAAACAATTTTAGTACTCCAGGCAGGTATAAAAGAAATTAATTGACGTATTTATGAATATATCCCTTAATGTATTGTAGTAGTTAAATACAAGCAGTGTAAAACAGGGCTCACTTAATTCCCTCACCCACCCTAAACAGCTTGGTGGAAGAACCTCCACTTGACAGCTATTGTATTAAAGTCCCTTTTACTTTGGTGGTCACGTTTGTAAAAACTGAGCTTTACATTACTTTCCATGTATCATGTTTTTGATCTGCAAAAATTGAACTCTTGTCCATTTAAGGCCTCATTCACACTGATAAGAGCTGGCCCGTACAGATCCGTGCGGCGTGCATGGCTGTTTCGGGCCGCTCCCTGTAAGGAAAGGTGCTGCGTGTGATTTGTACGTAGCAGCCTGTTCTTCTCTATGGGGATACGCGGCCGTACGCTCACCAAACTGCATATCCGTGTGGGTGTCCGCACTCGTACGCAGACAGGATGGATCCTGTCTGCATGCGAGCATGGACACCTGACCCGCATGGATGTGCAGTATGGGTGAGTGTACAGTACAGGGAGCGGCCCGAAACAGCCATGCACGCCGCACGGATCTGTACGGGCCAGCTCTTATCAGTGTGAATGAGGCCTAAGACGAACTCAGGGGTAATCAGATGTAAGCTGATGCAAGTCTGTTTATATCCGCTTGCTCATAGACTAACATTGAGCTTCTGATAAGGTCTGCCTGAAAAACTGAGGATCTAATCATAACGGCCGCATGAAAGGGGTGTTAGATGACCAGCACCTGTGGCTGTCTGAATACCCGAACAGTGGCAGCATCTGAATGGATGCAGTCACTATTTGGTCGACAGTTTTCTACCCACCTTATTTGATTTTGTAATGGAAGCTTGTTGAACCAGGTGGTGCCAACAGCAGGAATCAGCCAACATTTGAGCCGCATATGGCCAGCTTAAGTACCTAAAGTTTACTTGGTATTAGCCGCTTGCATTCCCTGTACACCAGAGCACAGACTTGAGCAGCGAGAGGCAGCACAAGAAGCTAATCAGTTGCTCTGCAGTGCAAGGAGCATGCTGATAGGAGGGAAAGAGCAGAGTAACAGAGAGCTTAGGTCATCAGGGTGCTGCTTCTTCTTTTACTGTCCAGTCATGGGCTGAGGGTAGGGCAAGACCTGTAAATGTTACTGAACTGTAACAGAAAAAAAAAGGTTCTCCTGCCCTGGTGGTTCTGTGTGGCAGGACTATGTAAATCTCAAGACTGGATGGACAGAAATACAAAACCCCTGGAAGGTATAACAGCTCCCTTATATGCATGCCATCTGTGTATTTAGCTGTTAGCCTGGAGTTCTGCCTCCAAAGGCTTCAGGAACATTACTAGAAGAAAACCAGTGGCAGTTGCTAACAACAGGTGTCATGTGAATACAAGCTATCCTCCTCTCCCGCTGGCACATGAACCTGGAAACACCCATGGAAGCCTAGGAGCAGTTTACTTTACAGGCATATGCTGCCACATTAGCAGATGAGAAGCAGAAGTCCTGAATACAGAAAAAAAACAAAAACAAATGGTGTCCTACTGACTTGGATGAAATTCGAGCAATGTGTGGCCCTGATGACACCACTGCGTTCACATTTTTTATCAACTTTTGTTGATAGAGCCGACCCGAAATATGCCAGCTGAACAGTCACTACAGTCAATCATCTGCAGTCACCATCCAGGTATTCTAATATCTGCCGGCGTTGGTTGTCAGAATACAATAGCCCAGTAGGGGAGATTCCCCCATCCACATAATTGTTTTATCATGGGGCTGTACGAGAAAAAAACGGCAAATGTATGGCCAGCTTTAGATTCTCAAATGCCAAAAACAGCAGTCTGGACAATCACTTAAAGAAGATGTAGGATGTATTCAAATGAACCCTAACCCTTGTTACCCCGCACTGCAAGGGTTAGGTGTTCATTTTGATCTAGGGACAAATATAAGGAAGATATACTCAGTGGATTCTTGGTCCTGCCTGGCTGCTTGACAGGACCCTGCAGTCTCTTTTTTCCCTGGGCTCCGGTGGTCTAAGGACCTGTGATGTTGTCACATATAATGCAGGTCCATTAGACATGAGGATGCCGAGGGACATAACACAACCACTGAGAGGTGAGCAGTCACTACCTCAGGACCATAGATGAGGTGCATATATCTTCTTTACAATATTGTCGGGATCCACCTCACTGACCGGATTGACAGCTGGCTCTACCTCTCTAGAACCAGAGCCAGCTGTGCCCGCCCCTTCCCCTGTCTGTCCCTCCAATGAGCACTGGAGAGAGAGCAGCGTGGAATCCCTGCGCGGAGTGCTGACTGACAGTCATCTGTCTCTGAATGGAGAAGACCGTGAGCGGAGTGATCAGCGATTCATGATCGCTCAGCTCTCGATTTGTAGAGCCGGCAAATTACACCTGCACAGCGGCTCTAAGTATTGGGAAGAATATATCTTACTCTCCCAATACATCTCCTTTAATTCATGCAATCCTGGAGTAGCAGCACTGCAAGGGTTAATTTGAACACATCCCGGAGAACATCTTTAAATGATTCTTTCGATTCTCATTGAGCAGAAAATCACATTTTATTCATTTGCATCCTTTACCCTTGAGTGAAGCTTCAACCTTTGTCAGATAGACACAGCACAATTGTGATGATCTTATCTGGGCTCCATATTTTATGGAACAACAAAAGTTCTCCTTTTATCCTTGCAGTAGGTAGATGATGCTTCAACCTTTATCACATAAGATCATCACACATGTGCTGTGACTGTGCTCCAAATTCTATTGAACAACAGAAGTTCTCCTTTAATCCTTGCAGTGTGGGGGTGGCAGCACTGCAAGGGTTAATGTCAATGCATCCTGGAGTACATCTTTAAATAAGTCTTTAGATTCTCATTGGGAAACAAGTCACAGTTTATTCATTTGCATCCTATACCCTTGAATGATGCTTCAACCTTTATCACATACGATCATCACACATGTGTCTGTGCTCCATATTCTATTGAACAACAAAAGTTCTCCTTTAATCCTTCCAGTGTGGGGGTGGCAGCACTGCAAGGGTTAATGTCAATGCATCCTGGAGTACATCTTTAAATTATTCTTTAGATTCTCATTGGTAAGAAAATCACATTTGATTAATTTGCATCCTATACCCTTGAATGATGCTCCAACCTTTATCACATAAGGTCATCACACATGTGCAGTGCCTGTGCTCCCAATTTTATTGAACAACAAAGCATGGCAACAACTACCACATTATAGGGATCCATTTATATCTATTTTCAAACAACATTTATCCAGCACCCTCACAATTAAAAGCAATTCAATAAATTTGTAAATCTTGGGTGAAAGGTGTGTGCACCTCTCTTAGATCTTCAAAGGTGAAGGAAAGAGGTTCCTGGCCAGCAAAGCTGACATTCTGTGCTTTCACTGAAGGTCGATTAGGTATTCCAGTGTTGACATCACAAAGTGTCAGTTTCTTTAATTGCAGCAGTTGCAGAGAGTATTTATTTTCATTACATAATGTGCCAATGACCCTTCTACTGCTTGGAGTGATATTTTTTTTGAAAGCCTTTATTATTTCAGCAGAAACATAATTGCACAAGGACGCTTGGTGTTGACTGTGTAAGCTAACACACACACATACAGTATATGTAATTAGGTTTGGATCCCTGTACACCTCTTCCCTGCTTGTGCTCCAGGTGCCAGTAGAAGAGATTACAGTGGAATGTGTGCTTGTGTGTGTGTGTGTGTGCAGTTTCTGATTCTGCCAGCAGCCAGCAGCATGTGGATGGAATAGAAAGAGAGAGAGAGAAAGAGAAAACAAGTGACAGCGAAGGGAGAGACACATCGAGGAAGAGGTAGCCAGAGAGCTTGCTTTCTTCCCAAAGATCCTCATTAATTACCTCTCTGAGCTACACATAGGGGCTCCAGGGGCCACCTGCTGCCTTCAGCATCTCTCCTTGCAGTGGTCTCCCACATTGGAGTCAAGGATACAGGAGACCTAGAGGTGGCAGCCCTGTCCCCCTCCTCCTGATCCCACCTCGCAGGCTGTCTTTGTTTTCCTGGGACGTACAAGTGGAAGTGAAGAGAGACTAGGGATCCGCGGAGGAGCAGAGGCAGGCAGGAAGATGCACATTAACCGGGAGGTTTCCGCCAGTAAAGGTAAGATCGCCTATAATTCTTCCTCTGCGGCTCCCTAGGGGCACCCAGCTTTGTCCTTGTCTTTAGCTGATGCTTGGAAGTAGTGGCTTTTCAATGACATGTAAAGGGGGCACGCCTTCCATTGGTGTGCTCTGCCCGTGCATGCCTCGGTGCGCTCTGCTGGCTCTGACAGGTGGATGATGTGCGCTACCTCTGCGCTGCGCTCTGCGCCTACCGTGCGCTTCGTCTAATCACAGAGTTACATTGATAGTTACACAATCACCTGCTATTGTTACGTTTGTTTCCGTTCTGTGTGCTTAGGAGTTGTCACTGCACATGAATATGATCCTCGTTTCATATGTGTGTTCAAATCAAATGGGGATCTGTCTGGTTAGGATCGTGCATACAAGTTTCCAGATTCGCACGTCGTGCATATTCATCAGCACCATTATAATCTAAAGTGATTGACTTCAGGAGCATGTTTATAGCTGCACCTGCTTTTTTTTTTTTTTTAAGGTGACAGAGCTAATGTTCACACTGGCTAAGCTTTGGAAAAAGTGGCAAGGGGAAGGAGGGCAGACTTTTGCCCTGGCATTCTCTGCCAACAGGTGATGTGAGCAGAGAGCTACAAATATACATCACTGTCCCAGATTTTGTGTTTTTGTGACACCCACAAATATATACACCTGTGCCCCAGATTTTGTGTTTTTGTGACACCTTCAAATAAATTTACCTACTCTGAGGGGAATTTATCAAAACTGGAACAGACCAAAACTGGAGCAGCTGTTCGTTACAACCAATCAGCTTCTCCCTTCAGTTTGTTCAGTTAAGATTTGAGAATGAAATAGAGACGCTGATTGGTTGCCATGCACAGCTGCTCCAGTTTTTGTCTGCTCCGCTTTTGATAAATTCCCTTCTCTGTGTTTGCCCTCTGTTCCTTAAAGTGACAGTAAACCCATGAGTTAAATCTTAAAAATGCATTCAAGTACCTTAACTATTAACAAAAATGTATCTTATTTGTGTATCACTCAGCTACAGATCCTCAAATCATCTCTGAATTGGTGCTGGCACTGTCCTTCCTTCTGGAGGGTGGCTACTTTTGTTACCCATGGTCCTGGGTGTGTTGTACAGTAGCCACCGCTTCAAGCTGCCTCCTGAGATGGACTACAATCTCACATTTAGTTTACTCATTTGTATTGAGATTGTAGTCCTTCACAGAAGTGAGCTTTGAGCAGTGGCTACTTTACAACACACACTCAGCGACCATGGGGAACAAAAGTAGCCCCCCTCCAGAAGGAAGGACGGTGTCACAATGAATTCAGAGATCATTTGAGGATCTACAGCCGAGTGATACACATATAAGATACAGTGTCACATTAGTACATTCACATTAGTCCCTACGCTCAAGGAGCTCACAATCGAAAGTCCTTCACATGCATACATATACTAGAGCCAATGTAGACCGGGGCCAACTACCCTACCAGCATGTGTTTAGAGTGGGGGAGTACCCGGAGGAGACCCACACAAGAACAGAGAGAACATGCAAACTCTATGCAGTTAGCATCCTGGTTGGAAGTCAAATTAAGGACCCAAGGCAGGAGTGCTAACCACTAAGCCACTGTGCTGCCCACTTCTTCTGATTATTTTGGCCCTGAATAGATAATCCTCCTTCCACATGTTATTCTGATTGTCCATATACAGTAATATAACATCCTTCTCTTCTGTTAACTGTTTATTTCACATATCCATTGTAAGTGCATTTTTCAGCACTTGACCTCCACCTCTTGACCTTTACCCCTTGGCCCTTCTACCTGTGGCTTCTTTAGAGACTTACTTAGCTATCCACAGGTTTGGACACACTGTACAATCCTAATTAGCCATGCAACATATCTTATTTTCATATTTCTGTTATCAACTGGTTTTATCCACGCTACCTGTTTCTCCTTGACCCACCTGTCCTGCCTTCTGTGTTTTCCAGAAACCTTTGCTATTTGGTTTAATGGTAGTATTCTGAACAACTTGAGTCTTCTGGGGTTTTTTTTTTTTCAGCATCGCTTTTTCTGGTGGGATCGATTGTGTCCACCTATTCACCCTTCATTGTATTAAGAATAATGTATCCTAACAAGTGAACAAGTGCAGCTGGGGATGTGCAGAGGAACTGACCATTACTGAGAAATGGTAGAGATCACACCACATATCATTTCTATATGAGTTGCTGTGCCATGTTCGAGTATTCTATTCTTCGGAAGATATTCTTCCTAAGAGACGCAAAGAGGAGCTTTTAGTGATGGATGGAGGAAGCAGCTGATAATGCTTCATTTATCTTTGAAACTAGAAGAATAGCTGTTCCACAATGCGGGGTCTTTGTACCATTCTATAAAATGTAGGACATAGTTATATGAAGCTGTTTGTCAAGTTATAAAAAGAACATTGTAGTGAAAACTGAAGAGCAGGTTAGGAGAAGCTGGGTGAGACAGAGTATATGTACATGGGAGACAAGTATGGAACAGTTCTGTAAAGCATAGTCAATGGATGGGGGGAGAACAATAGAAAGCATTATTTGAACTGTTAGGAGTTGCTATGTATGGAACAGTTATAGAACAACGAGATATGTTTGCATTTGCACTCATTGTATATGGTGTGTGGAATAGTTTTGTGGAGCAGTAGATTTAATAGAAAGAAGCTATGTGTATGGAGCAGATAAAAGCACCAATAGGAATTACAATGGGGCGGTTAAAAAGTTCTTTTTAAGTGTAGTTGTAGTTAAAGTACTTGAACCATAAAAGAATAGTTTTATGGTTCAAGTACTTTATTAAATTACACAAGTGAGCGACATACGCTTATTCATCACAGCAACCTTTCTGATTATAGGTTTTGTCTGTATAGGTCAATCAGCACGGAGACAATGATTTCTCATTGACTGCCATAGGTTTGTAATTTGAAATATTTTTTTTCTTGCTTAAATAATGTCATAGATACTAGACATTAAAATAACACTAATGGCACCTTGTACATTTTTAGCCATTGTTGGGACTTTTGATTTAGACCCTTTGGATTTGATGGATACTTTACATAGACTGTGTGATAGGCAACATGACACCGGAAAATGTAAAATCTACATATTTAAATGAAGAACAGGTTTAGGATGTCCTATTTGTGACATATGCCATTAATGTTTGTGAAGTGTGATATCCAGGAGGACATGGCCATACGAGGAGCGGTTAAACTGTACTATGGAGGGTGTCCCCGAAGAGCTGATATAGCATGTCATAGGAGACACAGCCTGATATACATAGAACTTGTCAGAGTTGTACAAAACAGCTCTGCTTATCAATGTGACTAAACCCCTGAGGCATCTGGATGTCCTATTTGTGACATATGCCATTCATATTTGTGAAGTGTGATATCCAGGATAATATGGCCATACGAGGAGGGGTTAAACTGTACCATGGAGGGTGTCCCGGAAGAGCTGCTATAGCATGTCATAGGAGACATAGCCTGATGGACATAGAACTTGTCAGAGTTGTACAAAACAGCTCTGCTTATCAATGTGACTAAACCCCTGAGGCATCTGGATGGGTGATCAATAGTTAAGGCTGTTAAGGCTCCTATAAAACCGCCTGGAAGCTGAAATTAAATACTTAATTACTGCTACAATTTCCAGTGATTAAAGTGCACTCACAGTGACAGCATTCCCAAATGTCATTTCACTCTTCTTTTATCGTTAACCCCACCAAGTCCAGAATGGCCTTTAGCTTACTATTGGTAATGCAGGAATCATGCTGTCCTGGCACTTGGTGGGTTAAAGATCCAACAGTTATACTCTGTTTTCCTACCTTATGAGCCAAGCTTGTTATAATTCATTTTGTTCTTCTAGCACAAACCTTATGGATGACCCAGGTTATTATTTAATGTATATTATCCCTTCATCTACTACCTCATATAAATGCTTCATATAATAGTTATTGTTCCTCCCTGTCAAACCTCTTCCACCATATATTTCTTAGATTGTAATACTCTCCCTTTACCACAATAAATCTTCCTACTGTGACCTGTGCTTGCAATCCATACAATTGCTCCATATAATTGATTTCATACCTCTATATTTTCCCTATAATTGTATATCAGTCTCGTGTTGCTTCAAATAATGACCAGTTTTCTCTGTATCCTTGTTCTTTTACAAATATTTTTACCCAGTAATTATTATATGAAGTCTAGTGTTGTCTTAATAATATAAAGTTTGCTTAATATAGGTCTACAGTGAGTACCTCTGTTTTAATGAAGATTGATAAAACCCAGATCTGCTAAGGACCTTGCTGTGGCATCACTCTTGCCTGTGTTCACTTCCCCACACCATGCCAGCGCCTGTGATATATTTAATCATGCCTTTATATTTACATATGGTCTCCAGTTGCTAATTGGTAACAAGGTAAACACTTTTGAAAAACCCATATTTGGAGGAAGTTGTTGGTGGCCTAGGTGTTTTTTAAATGAGCTTGAGTGTACTGTGTGGAATAAAGGGGTTGCAACATTCAAAACTAATATTATATGTGTTGGTGGCATTCACTAGGCTAAGTCAGACGCTGGTGTTTTCATAATTGTTGGAGACTTCAGTGGGGACATCAGTCTATCATAGACCCTGAAGCTTTGGGGATTCCAACTCATCACGTTCCAATCCTATATCATATCATTTTCAAGTTCTATTTTCATTTTGCCATTGTGCAAATCAGCCTCTTCCTGGTCCTTTGCCAGTAAGATCACACCTCCAGCACACACTCACACATTGTTTTCTTCCCTGTATCCCTCCTCTAGTCCAAACACATAGGTCATGCCCCTGTATCCCACCTCCAGCACGCGTTGCTTCACTTAATGTATTCCTCATCCAGCACGCGCACTGGTATTGGTAATTTCCCAGTCTGTCTCCTCCAGCATGCACATTGTTTTTTTCCCTGTATCCCTCCTCCAGGGCACATACATCAGTCACGCCCCTGTATCCCACCTCCAGCACACACACATTGGTC